TGTTTTCTAATTTATTCGTATTTGCCCTTCAAATTTCCAAATGTATAACATCACACCTCAAACATTTATAGTTTAACCATTTTTGGAAAATCTAATTAGTGAAAATATATCTGTTAACCAACAAATAAATCCAGACTTAAGAACTGTTCTTTTAGCATTTACTAACTTCTAAATGCATACCAGAAAAATCCCCAAAATATTTCTAAACTTTTTGATTAGATTCCAATTGCAAGATTAAGAGTTATATTTATAATCTAATAAAAATTAATTAACGCGAATTTTGACATTCGCATTCCGATTTCAGAGAGTGAGAAGGTGGTTTTACCCGAAGGTGGAGAGTTGCGCGAGGAAGAAGGGATAGTGTTTGAGTGGAACCAGCGCGAGTTTATACATGACTCTGTTTCCGACGCCTAACGCCGCCGTAGCCACCGCCCAAATCACAATCTCCGTCGTATTAACATGCTCTGTATCGACGACGTGATCGCCTTCGATCTCGTTATCTCCGGCGATCGCGTAACGGCACACGCCTGGTTTTTTAATCTCCGATCCATCCCAGGATCTCGACGTTTGGATTAACCACCGATTTGAAGTTTGAGAGATTGACGACGAAGGTAGACGACGATTGATGTGGTTTCGACGAATTAAGGAGATCGATTGAGATTGGTTCGAGGAATGCGATTGGATTGAGCTGATCGAGGAGGTTAAACCGGTGGTTAACCGGTGGGAAATCGTTGCCATGGTGAATGGGAAGAAAACTGATTCTGATGGTTTTTTTTAGGGGAGAGAGAGAGGGAGACGGAAGTGACTTGGATTTTTGGCTTTTTATTGGGAAATAAAAAAAATAAAAAATTTTGAAACAAATTTGCATGATTAGACACACGCTGGTCGACTTGTTTTTGCACAAAATAACACAAAGTAGCAAAAGCGTATTTTAAGGCTCACTTATATTATGGAGTGACAAATTTACCCTCTATGACAACAACATATTGTGAAATTAGCACCAAGAACAACAAAAAAAAATTCAATAGCTATGATATTTTTATACAACAAAAAGAATTACAATAGCTATGATATTTCCAGAATTGCTAATTAATACTTTTAATTTTTTTATTAACTAAATTCACCCTTTTGTATATGATATATTATTGATTATGCT